GGATCTACGCTAAGTTAAATGAAGGAATGGTAACCCTCTGAAGTTCCCAAAATTGTTCTTTTCTCTCCCATCAATTTAAACAGGACCTGGTCTATGTCTAGTGATCTACTTGACTAAATTGAGTTATGTTGGAAGTGTGAATGTTTATTTTTTTCCACATTTTGACGATGTTTGAGATGCAGTGTGGGTCCTTTGTTTGCCTTAAACTCAGTGCTTTATAGTTTTTATCAGTTTGATTGTGTGTTCCATAACCTATCCTGTCCCATGGAGATAGGGTGTCCTGAGCGAATGGTTGTGCTTCCTTTGCGTAAATTGAAAGCTCTCTAGTCCTTTTGAGCTATACATCAAGTGTGCCTTGAACTAACTCTGGGTCTACTATTATTATTCACTTGCCGGTTAATAGAATAAGTAGTCTTTTTCCTCAGTGCATACGTCAGGTGTTTTCTCATAAGGTGGTCCACTTGACCTCACTAGGGGTGGCTGCATGAGTAATCGGCTTGGATGTCTGCTAATGCGAATGTAATATGAGATATGCTGCCCGCTGCTACAGTTACCAGCATTAGCAGCAATGATGCCATGAGTAAGTGGTGGGGCCTCATTTTTGTACCGTGTACACGAATTCTGCAAGAAATCAGCTGATGCTCCCAATCAAGATGGCAGGCAACGAAGGCATCAAATCTGATCCCGTGGGTATCTACTGCAAGCATAGTATGGCAATGTGGCACGCATTCTTGCACCGGTGCATCATTTAAATGATGTCGACGTCTTGATGACGATCGCGAAAGGCGAACTGTTATTGGCGATTCTGGGAGTGGTGGTTTTCGACCTTACAGAATGTGCTTTTGTATATATGAACATACAATTTGCATGATAAACGCATAATTCAGTCCTTGGTGGAACTGCGCAAGATAAGCAGAGTGCATTTGCTAATAAATGCGGAAATTCTTGATTTGTGAAAAGTGACCACAAATGCTGCATTCGGATGATGCAGCCACACTGACAGGTCTCTTCGTGTTTCACGCTTCTAGGTCAGAGGATACGTGGCTGGGTGTAGGCAGGGGAAGGTTTTATTTTCCGCCTTTTGTTGATCTTAACTTCCTACTTCCACCGTTGTTCTCTTAAGACGATTCTAGTACCTAGGCTCACGCGTCACATATATGTGACGCTTTCATTTTGGCAGATGGAAGATAGATCGAATAAGGGGAAATGCGCCAATGGTCATACATGTCGTGACAGTAGGATACAGTAGTTAATGACTGATTTTTTCTGTTGTTAAATTCATCTGATGATTGACGGTGGCCATGAGGATGAAAGTATTAGCTCGATGCTTCTTACGCAAGTGCAGCGACTCTCACTTACGGGGTACGCTAATTGGATCTCTCTTCGGCACCTTTTTGGTGATATTGGACGTTGGATTATGGACCTGCTTTTGTTGTCTCCTGCATCGTCGCAAGCAATCACCATCGGTGGTTGACGAGGTACACGGCATTCTGTTGCCACCACCGTCATTACCACCGAATTTAGCTACCGCAGGGGTCTACGCGCCTGCCCTAGATTTGTGTGAACCCACCTACCCGGAGTCCGTACCAAAGCCTTGAGTTTCGTCTCCGGTGTTCAGTGTAGTCTCTTCTAATTTGTTTGCAACAATTCCCAAGCCAGAATCGATGACACGGTGAATTTTTGCCTTTGAACACTGTCTGGTGGTTTT